ACTTGCATAACAAATCAACCAAGACTTTGGCTTGCTTCTCATTTTCTAACGACAGCGATTCCGACTTTTTCTCGACAAACTTCTCCACAAGAAGCCCCGGGTCAACTGCGTGGAATGTCTATTTCAAGATGAGGTCAAAAGATAAGTCAATGTAACCTCAGCTTGATTCGTAACTGCCGCGTGAAAGCACACCAACGTGGACCTTCTTGCTTTGTCTGTCATTGCGCTCCATTCTTTTTCGCGGCGGGGGACGTGTCCGCCGACTTTGACATCGATTTTTTGGATTGCATTCAAAACGGACTTCCCGAGTGGAGTCCTGTATGGTGACTGGGTTGCCGTACCATACGACTCACGGCGCGAGTGGGAATCTGTATTGATGAATTGAAAGGCATTCAGATTAACAACACGTAGAAATACCTCTAAAACGTGTGGTTTGCTTTGGTTGTTGACGAAGCTCTTTGTGGCTGTCCAAGACCAAAGGATTTAAAGCGCATTTACATGCGTCCTCGCAGTCAACAACGGGACAATGGCGGCAAGTGAAGCATCGCCGTATCTTGGGGGAAGCACGTCATTCAACTCGGTTGGAGCTGTTTCTCGATGATTCAACCTCGCTGTTCTATTCCAACGAGCTTGGGACAATGGGGATTTACTTCCTGGATTGGAGAGTAATCGGAACAAAGTGCAGATGTGACGTCCGAGTACAGTAGTATTATCAATACGAAAGTACGCATTGTAATGCGAACTCTGATTAAAATCAGATTTGAGCTACTGTGGGAACAGCCATTCGGCCGCAAAAGGCCAGAGTGGTTATTAACAATATATAGGATAATTGATTATCTAAGAATATCTGACTAATCCATTTTGAGTTCTAAAAGTATGCAAAAACGTTACTGACATTTTTACTGGCATTCCATTGGAAGAAAGAACCAAAACGTGTCCAATGACACGCGCAGGGACTGCCGTTGAATCCATCGAGGGCCCATGCGCCATGCAAGTTTTCACGGTTGTTCCGGGCTCCGAAAGCGTGCAAATGGCATGTGAAGATGGCCGAATAGTCAAGGACACATTCCGAAATCTCTGTGGCTTACTGAGCCCTGTGGACGAAGTTTGAAAATCATAGTATGACCAAAATTTGTACATTCTCCGCTAGCCTGCCTGTTAATACTACTATTTTCTAGTACTAGTTATTACCTGGTACTTCGAATTATAAGTATTGTCAAGATTATGAGCAGCCCAAATCGGCAGACAATCGATCGACCAATCAAAACTCAGAACACTCAAAACGTAGCCAATCAAATCCACTCTTCGACCAATTCAATATCGAATTAGTGTGTGAATGAGATTAGTGTGACAGTTGACCATTTTTACATACAAAAGTCAGTATAGAGAATCCATGGATAGATTTGGCGAATCAACACAAAAGTCCAATTTTTGGGTAAAAGGACAATACTGCTACCTGTGTATCCTTCACGGTAGTACTGTAGTATTCACTCTCTGCCTCCAAGAGGTAACGAATCCGAATAACATGTGCTTGGTCTCGTTGCATCTTCAATCATTACATCACTCTTGCCTGTCTCATCCAACAGATGAAGGTACATAGCCCGCTGTACTCCCCCGGATGGACGACCAAAAAATGGACTCACGACATGTAGTCAGAGTGCGGCGGCCTGTGTGTGTAAATCGGAAAAAATCAGATGGGTGGGGAAATTGAGATCCCTGGGACTCACATACAGTACATCTCGCTGTTATCCGTACATTACCCGAATAAACCTCATTCGATAAATCCCACTGGTGGAGTTGCTCTAATAGTAACCCATCCGCTCTGATTTGAATGGATTTCGTTTGACCACACTGTTGTAAGTACTACCGGTAGCACGTTATATTTTACTTCATTGAAAAATTGTACTACTAGTATTAGATTTGTCTTAAAATATGCATTATTAACATCGGCATCACAACTATCCGGATAAGTCAGCAAATTTGGTTCTAAGTTTTGATCCGGTAAAACACTCCTCGCCAAGGCACCGCCTGCACAAAATTATACACACGACCTCCGCTACGCTGCGGTGCGCGCAATTTTGTGGACGAATGCTCTGTCGTCGCTCGCTACTGTAAAGCTGATCGTTCTTATGCGGGTGTATACAATACACAAGTATGTCCGAACGAAAACGTTCGGACAACTTCACTCGGACAAAATATGTTCCCCTTAAGTCCAATACAAATGACAAGTATGTCCGACTGAAATTGTCCGAACGGTGTCCGCAAAGTGATCATATTCACCCATGTTTTCCTCATCTTGGTCGAGCAGGCGCGTTACAATTGGCAAGCGGTTCCACAACATGTGGTACTGTACTAGTATCGGCCCTCGCGGAGGAATGTCTTAAACAAATCATAATCCAAATTAATCACGTATATACTGTACCAACATTCGTGTTTTACCAACATCAGGTTTTGTGTCTGATCATACATGTTGAATATCTGTTCATACACTGTAAGATGATTATTCGCTCGGGACAATGGGCTTTCTGTCCCAAGATGTTTGGGGTCCAAGAACTGTTCAGGCAATTCACCATATATTCGAGTTCGTCGTGGCAAAATATGTCGTAATCAAACGCAATGGCGGGTACTAACGTTAGTGAGGAAGTGGTTTTAGCATTGCGATGCTGTCAACAATACATACATTCGCCAGTCATGAGAATGATTGCATGTCATACAAGTGTATATTTGTGTGTAACGCTAAGGTTAATATAATTTCGCGCTCTCATTTGAAGTGCATTCTTGATGAATGACGTGCATTCACATCAACAAAACGGCTGGATACTCTTCACGCAATCCAAGGGACGAATGGGACAGCTTGATCATTATGACGACCCACAATCAGAGTCACACGAGCGAAATTCCACATCAAATTACTTGTCTTGTACGATTAATGCGTTGGGGGCGTTCTACTCACAAATTTACGTACTAGTATACCGATAAGTAAATACTTCGAAGTACTGTACCTAGCATTATTCAGAGCCAACACAATCAGAATACCACGAACCCTAATCCTCAACTTTAAATCGATGGTGGCACGCAGGTACTAGTAGGTTAATTGACAGATTGACTGTGAGTTTGGATTATCATTAACGTTATTAAGACATTCCTCCGCGAGGGTGTGGAACCGCTTCGCCAATTGTAACGCGCCTGCTGGACCAGGGGCGGTGTGTAATCTTCGGTTTTTACTTCGCTCTAGGTACTACTATTAATAGTACTAGTACGTAGTAGTACATAGGAGTACCGGTAGCAAGTGGATCGACCTAACATGTCTCATGACTAGTAGGAGTAGCAATGGATCGACCTAACATGTCTCATGAGCAAGTCAGAGGAGGCAATTCAATATTTTCATTGTTCAATTCTTTCCCGAGCCATCATGGATAGTGACAGCACGGCGGTAGACTTCTCCGTCGTCAAGAGTCCTCGTGGGGACACCCCACATCCCCATACGAATCTCCTGGCCTCGCCCCATCCTATCGACAGTGCCAACCCCCTCTCGAGGGCCATCTTTGGGTGGGCCAACGCCCTCCTTCGCGAAGGCAACCGACGCCAACTTGGCCCCGAGGACATGTGGCCCCTCCAAGAATCCAACAAGGCGGCGCCCTTGGCCTCCAGCTATGCCTCTGTCTATGTCAGCCGCGGCAAGAGCATTCTCCGCACCTTCTTTGCCATTTATTGGGTCAAGCTCGTTGCCGTTGGACTCATGCAGCTGTTCACGGTGGCCTGCGACCTCTACGGACCAGCGTACGTACTCCAAAAAGTGGTCCAGGGTGTGCAGCAGCCGGTATTCAACCCCACCGCCACGTCGCTGCTCGTGTTGTCGCTCTACGGCATCCAAGTCGTGAGTGCCTTCGTGAAGGCACACATGAAGTTCACGAACGATGTGATCGGAGTCCAGTTCGGCTCCAGTCTCCGTTCCATGTTGTTTGAGAAAGCGCTCAAGTTGAATGCCAAGTCGAGGAAGGAAAAGTCCGCGGGAGACATCGCCAACTTGTTCTCCACCGACATTATCAGTGTTATGGAGTTTGCCGCCAACATGAACCTCATTTGGATCGTGCCGGTGCAGATTAGTGTCGTGTTGTACTTGTTGTACTTGCTCGTGGGGTGGTCCATCTTTGTGGGGCTTGCGGTAGTGCTTGCGATTCTCGCCGTGAACGCCGTCGTAGCTATCTTCATGGGCAAAGAGCAATACCACATGTACAAGGCCAAGGACAACCGCATGAAAGTCGTCAACGAAGTGTTTGGGGCGATCCAAATCGTCAAGTTCAACGCGTGGGAGGAGAAGTTCCTGGCCAAGCTCACCGAGTTGCGAGTTGCGCCTCGTGGAAGTCGTGTCCATTTGGAAGTACATGCGGTACACCTTAGTGCTCGTCACGTTTTTGTTTACCACCCCCGTCTTGGTCACGATCTCCATCTTTGCCACGTTTGCTCTGTGGATGGACCAGACGTTGACAGTCAAGATTGTGTTTTCGACGCTGGCGTTGTTCAGGTCCATGCAACATGCACTCTACAGTTTGCCTGTTGTCATCACGTCCACCGTGCAGTGCTTTGTGTCTGTCAAGCGCATCAACGCTGTGCTGCTTATGGACGAAATCGACCCGTCCGACGTTCAGACGCCAGCCTCCAATGCCGCGCTCAAGGCCAAGTACGCCACCGACCGCACGGTGATGGCCATTGACCAAGGCTCGTTTGGCTGGCACACGTCGGCTGTGGCATCGGTCCACAAGGATAGCGCTACGGACAAGACACCTGTCGCCCCAGAATCCAGAGCTGACGATGAGAAGAACGTTTCGTCTGCCCTGTTTGTCGACATCAATTTGACGATTCAGCAAGGCCAATTCGTTGTCCTCCATGGCGCCGTGGGCCAAGGCAAGTCGTCACTTTGTGCGGCCCTGCTCGGGGAGATGCGCAAACTGGCCGGGACGGTGTTCGTGGGCGGCGAAGTGGCGTACTTTGCCCAGCAGTCGTGGATTCAGAACGCCACCATCCGCGACAATATCCTCTTCGGGAAGCCCTTTGACGCAGCCAAGTACGCCCGCGTCGTGGAAGCATGCGCGTTGACCAAGGACATGGCAGGGTTGCCTGCAGGGGACCACACGGAAATCGGCCAAAAAGGCATTAACTTGTCGGGGGGACAGAAGGCCCGCATCAGCTTGGCCCGGGCATGCTACAGCGACGCCGATATTTTCATTCTGGACTCGCCCTTGTCTGCCGTGGACGCCATCGTGCAGAACGAGATTTTCACCAAGTGTTTCCTCGGCCTGCTTCGATACAAAACCATCCTCTTGGTCACGCATAGCCACGACATCATCCAGTCTCCCCACGTCCACCGCACGTTCCTCGTCCAAGACGGCACCGTGATCGAGACCACGCCGCCTCGCAATCGCGCCAACTCGCCCAAGCCCCCCTCGTCTGTCGCCCCCTTGCGTCCCCCCACGGCCTACTGGGTGGTGGACAGCCAGGACATGATTGACTAAGTGCTCGTCGCGTCTCGTGACAAAACACTGCAGGACACTACCGAGGGAACTCTTGTGGTGAACGAAGAGCGAGCCGTAGGTCGCGTGTCCAAGGCCGTCGTGGTCGAGTACATCCGGGCGATCGGGGGCTGGCGGTCCATGGCCGTGATGGTGTTTCTGACACTGGCTGTCGAAGCCATCAAGGTCGGCAGCGACATGTGGCTGTCCCACTGGTCCAACCAAAGCACGGCGCTGTCTCTGGCCGACTTTCGAGCCAACACAAACCACAACATCCTCATCTACGGCATCCTCGTCCTCGCCACGAGTGTGGTGACGTTGATGCAGATCGCGTCCGTGCTCATGTACGGTTTGCGCGGCGCGAAGAAGCTGTTTTCGGACATGTTGCACAGTCTTCTGGAAGCCCCCATGTCGTTCTTCGACACCAACCCCATCGGTCGCGTGCTCAATCGGTTTGGCGACGACATTATTCAAGTGGACACGGCCATTCCGTTCTCGTCTGCACCGATGCTTATTGAAACAGCCGCCGTGATAGCCAAACTCGTCACGACCATTGTCATCACACAATGGATGGGACTGCTCGTGCTGCCGCTCATGGCGGTGTATGGTTTGTTAGGGTCGTACTTTTTGGCCCCGTTGCGGGAAGTGAACCGCATCCAAAAGACGACGCGGTCGCCGCTGTTGAGTTTGGTCAGCGAAGGCATCGACGGCTCCACAACCATCCGAGCGTTCGGGCCCAAGTACCTCCGTCACTTCAACCGTCTGCACGACATCCTCCTGGAAGATTTTGTGGCCGCTCGTTTCGTGGGCCTGACAGCCAACCAGTGGTTTGCGTTGCGTGTCGAGCTGATCAGTTGCTCGATCGTGTTTGCCCTTTTGATGGGCATCGTGGTCATGCACGACGCCATCAGTGCTGGTCTCATTGCGCTCGTGATTACGTACGGATTGAGCATTCCAGCTAATTTGGCGGGGCTGGTCAATATGTGGGCGCGAATGGAGACGGCGCTGATCGCCCCTGAACGACTGAACGAGTACATCCGGCTGACCAAAGAAGGCGAGCGACATACGCCGTTGGACGAAGCGTCGACGTCGTGGCCGTCCCAAGGCCAAGTGCAGTTTGACCGCGTGAGCTACCGCTACAAACCCACGGACCCCCTCGTGTTAACAGACGTGAGTTTCACAGTCAATGGGGGTGAAAAGGTGGGCATCGTCGGACGGACGGGCGCGGGCAAGTCCAGCCTGATGATGTCGCTGTTCCGCATGAACGACGTCGCGGCCGGCCACATCCGCATCGACGGCCTCGACATCGCCGACGTGGGCCTGCAGAACCTGCGCAGCCACTTGGCCATCATCCCCCAGAACCCCGTCCTGTTCAAAGGCACGCTGCGCAACTACTTGGACCCGTTCGACGAGTACGACGACGATCAGCTGTGGCTTGCGTTGAAAAAGGTGCAGCTGGCCGACCGCATCAGCTCCGTCGCATACAAGCTGCTGGGACCCGTGGAAGAAAACGGAGAGAACTTTAGCGTGGGCGAGCGGCAGATGCTGTGTATGGCCCGCGCCCTGTTGCGCCAGGCCAAGATCGTCATCCTGGACGAAGCCACGGCGTCCATCGATCACGACACCGACCAGCTCCTGCAGCAGGTCGTGCGCTCCGAGTTTGCGTCGTCCACGGTGCTCACGATCGCCCATCGCCTCGATACGGTGCTGGACTGCGACCGCATCCTCGTGTTTGACCAAGGGCAATTGGTCCAGAACGACACACCTGCGACACTGGTTAATGCTGGCACGGGCATTTTCTTTGAACTCGTCACGGAAGGCGGGTATACCTTGGACAAACAGCTCTAAACACGTCGAAAACGTTATTTCGGATTTTTTGTCACGGGCCAGCCACTTGCTCTCTGTCGTATTATATAACCTCTCTGCATCTGAACTGAACTGAAATACATCAAGTGGATGCCTTGTTTAGCATCGAGGCATGTGATTGATATCCAGGACTACAGATCGGCCATCCTCAGGAGGAGACGTTTTAGTTTAAACGCCTCAGTTCTTTCAGTTAAACCCACGTAATGTTGACGTTAAATTATTATTACTTACGTTTTTATCTGGTAAATAGGTTAAACATCCTGAATAATCCGGATACAATGGAAACGTTCATACGGATAAGTGCTGTATACAAAGACCAAGATATACTTGATGCACCTTTTCAGCCAAAATGTGCCTGGCTCGATATACTTCCATACAAAAAGGCTGGTTGGTTTAAATTCTATTTCTCGATCAATTTTTCACCAATCAAAATTTTGAACAGTAACTTCTGTTGGTCTTGACCAGTTCTATCGTTATTACGGCTTATTTTCCTAAAAAATATCAATACAAAGTTGGAATAGCTGTCGAAAGACAAGGCATTTTTTTGTAGTCTTTAGTTGAAATGCACCATACTACCGTACCTTTCGATTCAATGTTGGAATGGTACTCGGCTGTGACCACCCTGTTTCTAGTCTATTCAAAATTAATATTTCTATGTAATTTTGAGGAATATAATTTTATGGAAGTTCTTCGTGACAAACTCAAATTGAAATCATACAAGTACATTTCTAGGGCTTGCGATGGGACGGTCACGGCATAATGGAAAGTGAATGGAGGTGTCAATGTCAGTTTACAAGCTCAAGTTTGCATGCTGAAATCTGCAGGAAGTCGCTTCAAGTTTGCTCGTCAGTTATCGCGTCGTAGAGAGGCATTACTTCTGAAAGGATATTTATGTCTAGAGGCAATGAATACCAAATTTTCCAGTGGTACTCCTGGCTGTACCACTCCAACATTGAATCGAAAGGTACGGTACACCTTTTTTCGGTTAATTTCAGGACCTCACCATACT